CCATAGGACACCACCATCATGCTTAGGAAAAGCATGGTAGAGGCACCAAGGGATGGCAACGCCTCCCTCGAACCTCAGACAGCTTCCGAGGGCAGCCTGCAGGCTCTGGGGAAGTTGGTTGTAGTCCTTGGTGCTCGTGTTTTTAGCGACCCCAAACCTACGGGTTCGGTGAAGCGCCAAAATCACAAGGACCTACGGTTGGCCTGAACACCGCCTCAATCCTCCCCTGCTCGTAAACTTCCTTCTAGCACCAGTTGTTGAAAGGGGCAGCACCGGCTTCCGGCCACCACAAACGACCCCCAGCGGGTCGCATACTTGGAATGTCATGGTTCTCTTTAAAATTCTCCCTCTTCTCCTTACTCAAACTCAGCCGCGCAAAAGGGCTAAAAAGTAATACGTACACATGGTTGGAGGTGGTTCAAATGGTAGGAAGGTCCTTATTTATAGGATCAAGGGCGGACTGAGCAGCCTGAGACCCCAGCGCCATGTGGTGCACCACATGAGGCCACAACCAATGTCAGATGCCCGCGAGAGGTCAGGGAAATCAAGATCCTCCTAAAGGCGAAGCCGATACAACATCAACGAGGCCACTCGGTCCCGCCTAGGTCACGAACCCCGATACGCAGTACACTGACATGGTAGGGCTCAGTAGTCATGTACTGCATCGTCAGGGCATCCTGACAGGGCAGGACGTAATAGCCACCTACCACGTTGAACACACTAACCCGCAAGGGTCGAGTGACGAAGCTCAGACAGGCCATGACTATGAACCCGCACTCAGCACACGCGCATCTCAGCGCTTTCACAATCACTTCATGATCGCAAAAATGCTCGGAGGCTACAGTTGGGGTTATTATACCCTAGGTATCTCAAGGCACCGATTAGATAGCCGCTCGGGCAGCCCACGGTACGCCAACTAGTATAAGCCCAAACAATCAAAGGCCCAGCTAAGCTAAGCGAACCGGGCCAAATTCTAAGGCTGGGGGTCGCCACGACCCCTCCATCTGCCTTAGTTGCACACCGCACGAGGACTCACGATCACTCCACCATCCCATCCCTTGGGATGAATGGGGAGAGATCGAGTCCAGCCAAGCATGCCTGCTCTAATAGGAGCAGGCACGCCACACTAACCCTGCAAGGATCGAGGGGACATTGGTCACCTCGGTCCGGTTAGATGCCATCCCTGCGCCACGCAGCAGAGATAAGACAACACCGCTAAGAGGGTGACCCACCGTCCAAATATGGCCTGACGAGACACACGTACGACTCCGCCCACTACGGGATGGGATCCACGATGGTGACCTTGACTTAGAGGCCAGCCAAGCCAACAAGGGCCACGACCCCGGAGCCCGGGATTGTGGCCACCAACTCCATAGGCTAACAAGACTACCAACGACCTGGGGATGGCTACCAACTCCTGTACGACTCCCGCGGGAGATCAGGAAGCGACGACGAAAGCCACGACGAAGACCACGTCGTGCAGGATGGCTGGCGAAACATGAACGTGCCCACAGTACCGCCACGAACGGCACTATAGCACCACGTCACACCATGCCGCGACGTGGACACAAGATCATGATGACAACCATGCCCAGACGTGCACCATAAGACGATGTTACATGCAAGCCAAGTTAGCTAGGTTCCCTCTATCAGGCTCACGACCCCTTGGTCGGGAGAACCTCCTTCTTTGTATGTGACCTGGCCTCGGACTCTATATAAGGGCAGCCAAGGCACCCCTCCAAACATCTTCACCATTCCTGGACCCTCGATGCTCTCATTCGAACAGTCCATCTTCTAGCATTCAAGCGAGGAACACACACTCGATCATCTCTGAGACTAGACGTAGGGCTCCGGCCTGAACCAGTATAAATCCTCGTATCTTTTGGATACTACATCGTCTTCCTAGAGCTGCGCGGTAATCGTATAAATTCACTAGTCCGGTTTACAAAACACTGACAGCTCTAAAACAACCTTAGGCTATGCAAACTCTAAAACCTTTTAGCATATTGGCTACTATATCTTCTACAAAACCAATCTAATGCGTACTTAGGGCCAACATATTAGTTATGTCCTCAACAAAAATTCACTCTAAGAGTAAGGTCCTTAGAAAACCAAGTATGAAGCCTAAGCTAAACACACCAACATGAATCCTAGTTGTCACACAAGAAACTCGCATACAAATAAAAATACAAGTAAGAACTAGGTTTCTTTCCCATGGTCTCGGGTTGTTCCGCAATCCCCTACGCCACGTTCTATATTAACGATCTCGAGACCTCTTCTCTAGACTGACAATTACTTGGATCTGCTTTACAACTCTGACTTTGTTAAGTCTTATTCGATCGAGCTAGCAAGCGTACCCGAACATTGTAACATAATGTACATCTTATTGCACTATTGTCTAGACAACTTGTGACTTAGAGATCTATATAATGGCCGTACCATCTGTTTTAATACATCTTACGATCGAATTCTATATCATAATTAGATGTACACCATTTTAACTCATTTGGATACAGATCGTGACTCCAAGTTATGGACAGACTAGAGATATGCACGAGAGCTTTATGAAAAGTAAAATAAGGTGGTTGAAGAATACTTTTTAAAAATTTATTGAGGGACCGTTTGGATCTTTTTATTTTAGAGGAATTGAAATCTACATAATAGATTAGGCTATTTGGGTTGGAATTTGACATTCCATAACATTCCTAAGCTCACAAATAAGTCTATCTCAAACTCACTTCCCTACAATAAAAATAGATCACTTCCCTACAATTCTATAGATCATTGTGCTATAATTCTATTCTCTAATTTATAGCACACTCTCCAACTCACTTCCCTATAATAAAAATACAACATATAAGTATGTCCCTTGTATGTCTAACAATAAATATATTCCATATATAACTATATTAACTTAATTAATCTATGCCTAAATTATAATTATTAGAATATATTCAATTCCTGAATCCAAACGGCCCTGAAAGATATAGATATAGATTTATGTCGGCACGTCGCGATTCACGCAACTTGATGCACGGCGACAGGAGCCAAACCACTCTGCAAAAGTTAGATTCAAAGAAGACAGAGACCTGCATTTAACGTATTGGCTGAGACATCCATGTCTAGTTTGAACGCACGCTTTATCGGCCAGATCAAAACAATGCCAAAGTCGATCAACTGTTGCAAAGTACTCCGTAAATGGCTAAATGCCCGATTAAGATATTCAGCCTGATCGTTGGTTGGTTTCTAGACTGATAAGCTTGATTGGTGCTGGTTTGTTGTCTGAGAAAAACAATATATCATAACTGACAAAGTTTGGCGGAAACCAACAAGCGAACATGACCATTAACCTCTGTCTCTGACGATATAATTATACATTACATATAGGCCACTAGCTGAATACATCTTGCGGGTTATATATTCTCTCTTGTGCCAGCAACATCTTGCGGTTATGTATTGGGGATTCACTCTTGTGTTGTGTCAGCAATATCGATAGATCTGAGCTTAACTAAGCAGTATTTCAGCTATGCACTTTGACTATCTGCGTGGCTCGAATAAGCTGACAATTATCTTTCGTATTATGGGCTAAAATTGTCTCCAAGTCGAGACAAGAGTGAAGCTCATAGTGAACTGAATGGCTATAGTGAGCTACTCCCTTCTAGGCAACATAACTTTTTTATTTTAGATAATAAGGAGATCTATTTTTTATTTTAGATAATAAGGAAATTAATTACGAAAAATAGGCAACATATCTTGATCTAACATGCATGTGAAGGTTGGGCCGTGATTTCCATCTACTTGGTACGGGTGACCTTTTATACGTGACAAATTTGCTAAAAGAATTTATGGAACCACATTATTACACTTTTTTTTGCAAGTATTATTACGGTTATTTATTAGATATACAAATGTTGTAACGTGATAAGTGCTTATATAACATTTGTATAAGTGCTAAAACGTTATATAAGCACATTTTATCGAGCTAGCATCCAATGATGCAAACTTAGGGCAAGTACATTGCTACACGACAGCGGTCTCATACTCCATCTCATGCAGTGCCACGTAGATTTTTTGATGGTGTGGAGAAAAGAGATGGGAGAGAATGAGGTCATTGTTTCACGAATAAACCACCTCACAAGCTAAAATTTAGAATTATGGGATAATTATTATACCATTGTATGAGTTGTTGTTGTCATATAACTCATAATTTTATTTTTATTCTAATTCTATGTATAAATTAAAGAATTATGAGTTACTATGAGATAACTTAAAAAATAACTATTATACATGTTGCCTATTAAGTCGTCTTAAATTTGCATAGCACTTAATGTATTTTTCTCTTTTCTGTTGGCTCTGGGAGCCTTGTAACCTGTACGTACTGTATTCTTTCGTTTAATTGAAATAAAAAAATAGGTAGAGAGCTTCCAGCTGACCGTTTCAAAAAAAAATGCATAGCACTATGAGACCATGTACGAGACAGCGTCAATACATTGTCCTTTTTATGCAACTTGGCCTCCTGGTGTAAAAGAAAGGAAAGCGTTGCAACGTGAAGCAGAGAGGTGGTTGGTCTATCGTCAGCCACTGGATCAGGCCGGAGGCTGGTTTGTTACGCGCTTTACGGAAGACATTTCCGCTTGCTTTTGTGTTTCCTTTCGTCACCTCCGTTTAGTATTAATTTTGGTTGGTTGGTTCATATCGTTATTAGTTTAAAAAAAATATTACTAATTTATATAAAAGAAAAATATTATTTTAAATTAGAAATTTATGATCGTTTACGACGTGCCACAGCCAAACGTTGTCATCTTCCTTGCCCTGCTCGTCCCGAAGCTTCTCTCCCTCCTCACTCCTCAGCCCTCACCGCGTTCCGACGGTCCCCACCTTCCCCCGCGAGGTAACCACCACTAGACACGCTGTGCATCTAGGTCTACGCGGCCGGTACAGCTTCCCCCCCTGCCCCCCATCCTCCTCGTCGCCGGATGATCGCCACCGGCGCAGCCTCGATGGGCCGCGCCGCGACTCCAGCCCCCGGGGCCCAGTCCTCCCGGTTGCCGCGCGCCGTCTCGAGGCTGCGGCTCGTGCTTCGCTCCTCGGAAGCGGCGGCGAGGAGCGGCGGCGAGAGATGGATGGGGTGCTTCCGGCCGGCGACGGCGCCGGCCACCGCGGCGGCGGCGGTGAAGGAGGCGAAGAAGGGAAAGCGGCCGGAGGTGGAGGTGGAGGTGGAGGTGGAGGTGGAGCCGGCGCGCGGCGGAGGGGAGGACGTGTGGAGCGCCGGTGCTGATGCCGAAGTGGCGCAGGGTGGGGCGTTCCCCGAGCACCTCGTCATCATGGTCAATGGCCTCGTCGGGAGGTGGATCCGCGTGCGCTTCGTCGTCGTTTGTCCGTTGCGCGTTTTGCGCGTGTTGATGTGCCGTGGCTAAATTTTCGCCTGCTTCTGTTTTATTTTTTTATACAGCGCGGACGATTGGAAGTTCGCCGCGGAGCAGTTTGTGAGGCGGATGCCGGACAAGGTGATCGTGCACCGTGAGTTACCTGACCCCTTTCTGTAGGCTGTTCCATTTCATGCTGGACTGTTAAATGCAGTTGCTCGGGAGTCATAGATAGTAGCGTGCGTGTCACCGTGTGCTGTGTTTACATCTCTGGCAGGAGATTATCATGAGGATATTGGTTTGTTATATGATCCCAAATCGTGATAAAGAGAATCGTTTTTAGATGGCTGAAATACAATAATGGCCGAGGAAATTGGCTGATACTGGTTTGTAGACTTGTGCTGAAGGAATGCTTAGAACAAACATGATGGTGACAACATGATGTTGAGATATATGAAATAATTATGGAGGATTGAGTGTCTGTCAGTCCATGCAACATGCAAATAGTTGTCTAGTTGACTAGAAAGTGGGAGGTTAGGCACTTCTCAAATTTTTAATCTTATTTATTACACAAGTTACTGTTTGAAAGGGAAACATGAGGGCGAGTTGATCCACCACACAGTGTGACAAGTGTTTTGACATATCTGTTAGGAGACAGTGTGACATACTTAGGAAACAGAAATTGGCATGGAGAATTGGAGATGAAGTAACCATGTCCTTGTACGACGACTTAGCAAAGGTTAGGCCCCGTTTGGCAGGGCTTCACTTCACTAGTGAAGCAATTTTTTTTGGCTTCAGCTCCGCGAACAGCTCCACCGGTGGAGCTGAAGCAGTTTTGGTAAACTGTTTGGCAAAATGGCTTCCCTGTGAGAGCATGTTTTTAGGGGCCTGGAGGAGGAGCAGGGAGAAGCCACTTTTTTTGCTCCATCCCACCCCAAATCATTGTGAGAGCATGTTTTTAGGGGCTTCACCAGTGAAGCTATTTCACTTTACCCCGTTTGGCAGAAAACGGCTTCAAACGGCTCCTAAAGCAGGTGGAGAAGCCCTGCCAAACGGGGCCTTAATATGAGGAAGTGTGTATTAGCCATTACTATTTTGACACTCTTTGTTCCTAAATTGCAGTAATAAGATGCATTTGTGGCATCACCTAGTTGGCTACTTGCATGCAAATATTGGATATCTTCTTATGTACCTTATCTTATTCAAGAAAATAGTTCTCATCCCAGAACTCTTAGTTGACATGACCTGGTATTATATATTGCCATAGGCATTCTCTTATAGGTCTATGTTGAAAGGAACTCTGGAAGCACATAGGTCTTCTTTTATGTCTTCTCTTTCTGGACCGCACACATGAAGAAGTTATGCAGATTTTGAAAGTTTATAAAAATGGACTTTCAATGCCCAAACTATCAAAGAGGTTTCAGAACTGCATTATTTTTGCCCAAAGTTTACAAAACCTGATCCTATCCAAGCTGCACTTTTCAATGTTGCCACATTATGCCTTGTGTGGCAAGTTAGTCGATACCAGTGTGATGGCGTTAGGATGAACTGCCTTGTTTCCTAGTCAAGTAGTCAACCACACTTGCAGTGCTGTTCCAGCCCTTAAAAGTGCAGCTGTTTCTAAAGAGTGCTTTCTTGAAACAAGTTCTTAGAAGTATAGTGTTGTTCATAGGTTGGAAAGTGTAAATGTAGTTTTGTGGAATCCCTTTTGAAATTGGTATTCATCTTCTCTATGTTCTCTGATTCTTGCCTTTTCTTGTAAATAGATTCAGACTTAACCTTTTTTATGCAGGAAGTAAATGCAACTCTGCCACTCAAACATTTGACGGTGTTGACTTAATGGGTGAAAGGCTAGCAAATGAGGTATATCTTTTTGATTTGGCTAATTATTTTCAAGAAAGATAGATAGAATCATAGAAGCTGACTGCACGTGCATGTCTGGCTAATTCATCTAATTTGTTTCTTTCTACGTTAAACTAACCACATGCATCTATTTTGTATTTGTTATTGTATACATGCCCTGTTGAAGTGAAAAATGTTGATTGTGTTAGTTTGTGTCAAGTTGGTGGTATCTGGGCTTCTTTTCATATATGGAAGTACTATATTTCAGCCTTATTGTCTGGTGTTGAGACCTAACTGAATTATTATAGGTTCTATCAGTTGTAGAGCAAAGACGAGGTGTGAAGAAAATCTCGTTTGTGGCACATTCTCTTGGTGGGCTTGTTGCCAGATATGCTATAGGAAGGCTCTATGAACCTAATAGTAGAAGTAAATCATCTGGGGGCAGAGATGATGTTGAGCACTTGGAGGGTCACATTGCTGGTTTAGAACCTATGAATTTCATAACATTTGCATCACCACATTTGGGTTCAAGTGGAAACAAACAGGTAAACCGGATCTCTTTTGCTGTTTAATGAAAAAGAGCTATATCAGTCCGTTTATTCTTTCTTATGTTAACTCCACATGGCTACCCACTAATTGTTTAAACTTTAAAGTGATTATTGGCAATGTTGTTGGAATATTATGTTCTAGCTAATCTGTGAAAGTTAGCCAGCCATGCAATTTCATATAGAACTTTAATTATGATATTTCTGTTAATTTCATGGACACTCATGTTATTTTTGTTAATTTAGTTTTCCTATGCGTTATGTACAATCATGAAGTGCCTTGATTTCACTTGAAGTAGAGCAAGAACATTCAAATTCTTCAGTAATGTTAGTCTCATGTTCAGATTCTTCCACCAGCTACCTTTTTTATGTGGCCTGCCTTTCCTTGAGCGAAGAGCTTCAGAAACTGCACATTTGATTGTTGGGAGAACCGGAAAGCATCTATTCCTTACAGACAATGATGATGGTAGACGCCCACTCCTCCTTAGAATGGTTGATGACTCTGGTGATTTACAGTTCAGGTTATTTAGTGTACACTTCTCCTTTCTATTTGAAATGATTGATAAAATGTGTCTGTATAGAAATCAGGTCCTTTTATTCTTTGTTTAGGTTGTGTCAAGTCTAAGTACAGTATATTATCTTATGCAGATCAGCGTTGCGTTCTTTCAAACGGCGCGTAGCATATGCTAATGCCAATTTTGACCGTATCCTTTAACAGCTTCATTTCTTGTCTGTGCACTAATTATTAATGCCGAGTTACACTTCTTACCTCTGACATGTTGTCCACTTAACTAAACAAAAAGATATGGTTGGATGGAGAACATCATCAATCCGACGTCAGCATGAGTTGCCAAAGGTATGTATTAGCAGTACTTGCATGTTTGTAGCTTCTGCTCTCTATAGAAATAGAGTGAATCATTTGTTTGTCATTGAGCTGACTTGCCTTTCTTCGACACCTGTAGCATCGTCTTCTTGTTCGTGATGAAAAGTATCCACATATTGTTTATGTTGAAAAGGAAGTTACAGACAACAACGGAACAGAAGCCCATGCTGATCTTTACGATCCAGAAGGTATGCTTACTTCTCATACAATCTGTTTTTTATGAGAAATGCACAAGCCATTTGCTGGAATTTGCATCATGGATGTGCTGTACCTTGTAGCTTTGGTTCACATCTGTCTACCTAGAGAAAAATGAACCGCATGTCTTTCCTTTCCTTTTTTCCCCTGTGGCGAGGGAATTAGGCATGTCTTCCATTAGTACTGCATCTTCAACATCTTTTTCTTGCATTGTAATGAGAGGATATCTTTCTGAAATGAAGTTATAAAGGCTGTATTTCTTGTGATTTCTCCAACCATTGCAGTCAAGTTTGCTACATGGAAGGATTTACTTGTACTGTTCATTAATGATTCCGATATGTTTGTCAGATTCCTACATACTGTATCTTAACAGAACATTATAATTATTACTTCAAATTAAGCTGTTAGTTTATCCCAAACCCCACAATTGATTGTTTAACAACAGCTGATAAAAATCCCTCTTATATGCAGAGGAGATGATAAGAGGCCTTACGCAAGTTCCATGGGAACGTGTTGATGTGAGCTTCCAGAAAAGCAGCCAAAGATTAGTTGCGCATAACACAATTCAGGTACAAATTTTTAATAACTTCTTTCTTTTTCGAACACACAAGAGAATTTCTGATCATTTCATTAAAGGAGAGTTACAATCCCAACACTGCCCATTCAAACTGTATTTTTTTATTAAAAAACTTGTTAAACTGTAGTGTGTCTTTTGATTAAGTTCATATTTTTTACTGGATGTCTTCTTCATTTTCTGGCATCTGAACTTCCCTTGGGCAGCTTGGATCAGGATTGTAGTAGAGGGCTCTCTAGTTTGTGTATTTTGTGTGTTGCATCTAGTGTGATATTCCTAGAAGACTCCAAGTGCTTGCATGGACTTGGCTATTTTACTCACATAGTTCAAATTTATCCTTTTATTTGATGGTGTTGGTGCTTGGTATCAGCAATTTTAGGCATGTTCGTTATAGCTATTGCTGCTGCTGCTGCTGTTGTTTGCACAGTACCCCGTGAGAGGCAGCCGCAGCCATGCCTACAGCAACAGCCACACAAAAGAGCAGCCGAATTTATATCTTCAATGCCTGGTAGATACATACTAAACGAAAACGAATAAATTGGCGAAGTGTGTGTTACCTCTTGGTTGCAGAGATGCCTTTTGACTATTTTACAAGCTCAGTACACAATTTGTTAATATCTGTCAGTACTTCAGACTTTCTGGCACCACCATTATTAAGGCTGCATTCGGTTTGTTCTGGGAAGTAATATTCTTTTATTTTGCTTATTAAAGATGACATTGCCTGTGCACGCTCTCGCCCGAATAGATCATTTCTTAGCACTTATCCTCCCAAGTCCCAACATTGTGTATGCCTGGCACATGCTCGTCAGAATAATCTGTTATTCGGCCAATGTCAGGTTAAAAGCTATTGGCTAAACTCGGATGGAGCAGACGTGATCAACCACATGATGGATAATTTCATCGTCTAGTCCATGGAGGCATGGAGCCTACATCGTCTATTGAAATTTATTGATCAGTGACCATTCAATTTTGCCTCGGCCAATTTTTCCTTCTAGGTTGCAGTTCGCCAGTTCCCCATCCCAGCTAATGTGGTTGATTCTTTAGGCCAGCCCGTTTGCAGAGCAGAGCCCCAATGCTTCTGATCCTGCAGCATCAGCGACGCTAGCTCGTTCAACTGTATCATAATCTGCCCCCTCCTTTGTATAATTGTATTCCGCAACTAAGCTAGTAAATAGATGTTGCTGGAAATAGAATTCTCCTGTCTGGTTCAACACTGGAGTTCAACTTCAAACTCAAACTTGTCATTCTTGTGATCCATCGACGTGCTTATTGGGCACAGTACAGTACTTCAATCAAGTTTTTTTTTGGAACTTTTTTTTTTGTAAAATATGAATTGTACGTACCATATATGGATAACAGGTTGTAAGTTTATAGCTCGTTTCTCCTCTCTCTCTCCTTCACCTTAGCATTTAGCCAGAAAGTTTATAGTTCTGTTATTATACTTGCTCTTAGTCGCCCGGAACACGGAATATGGTCTCAACACATGTATGGGGAACTTTTGTTCCTAAACTAGGATTAGCAACAACAGAACAATGTAGTACATAGTTTCAAACTTAGGTTGGAATGCAACCTGGATCGAAGGTTTGAAGGAGAGGAACCAAACTGGGAGTCTCATGTTCGGGGAACTTTGTTCCTAAACAAGGATTAGGAACAACGGAACAATGTAGTACATAGTTTGAAACTTAGGTTGGAATGCTGAAGTTTTGGAGGAGAAGAACGGAATCTATAGTGATGATAACTTGATAAGGCTCCCAGTGGAGGTTTCATGTTTATGTTTTCAACACACTCATATTTTAAAAACAATACAGAAGAATTTCATTCATGAAACTTTTATCATGGTTTCGTTCGCTTCGCTAAAAAAACAAGCCAAAACACTGTTTCGGCTGATTTGTTGCGAGAGGAAAACACTGTTCCAGCTAAAAAAACAAGCTGGAAAAAGACGGATTATAAGAAAAGCGAACATGGCCCATATCTCTCATCACCAATACAGTGTTATGTTAGCATATTTAATGCGCATTAAACTCTTATAGAACCCCATTGAGATTGGCCTATGACCACAATTTCCTCATCTTCGCCATATAATCTGATCCTATACCACTGATGCATTTCTAGAATTCTAGTTGCACATTGTCAGTGGTAGTTCTCCAACTTCATGTTCATATGGAGATGATTCATGCGCTGTCTTAGGAACATCGTTTTTTTTCTGAAAGGAGGAACATCGTTTTTACTAAAATGGAACATGTTCCTCATTCTAGAAACATCGGAGGTACGCGTTTGTTTTCTTGAACAAACGAAATAAAATATATCCCTTTTATATCAAATTTTTTTGAAAAATAACAGACCTATGTTCCATGTCCTCGTTTGTTGATTTCATTCCTAAGGCCAGCCCCAACGCAACACAGTGGATGTTAGCCTCGTGCCTCACGTATGCAGTAAACCTCCAGGTCACATGTAATGGTGGTTTTGCATAGCAGTATAGGTGCCTGCAGAGGTAACGAGTGCCTCATCTGATAAAAGCTTCAAGCGTCGGCTCTGACGTGTGTTGTAGCTTGTGGTCTGATGACCTTATCGGCCTATCACGTGTTTTCGTAGAGCTGAGAGGAGAGCACCGAAAAAGGCTATGACAAAAAACAAAGTTGCTTTTTTAGGAGAAGATAGGCTTGCGCTTTGAGAGAAGTAGCTTCGCCTCCTCTATGCTGACGTGGAGAGCAGCTTTCAGTTGAGGCTAATGCTAGTAACAGACTGCGTTGGGGCTGGCCTTAGTGCTAAGGGCCAGTTTTGGATGCCAAAATTTTTGGCAAAACGTACTGTAGTGTTTTCATTGTTATTTGACAATTAGTGTCTAATCATAGTCTAATTAGGCTTAAAAGATTCGTCTCGTGGATTTCGTCTAAACTGTGTAATTATTTTTATTTTTATTTATATTTAATGCTTCATGCATGCGTTCAAAGATTCGATGTGACGAGAAATCTTGAAAATTTTGATATTTTAGGTGCAACTAAACAGGGCCTAAAAGTAACTTCAGCATGTTCCCTTTCCCCTTTCTTCTAAAATCGTGTGCAGAGTTCAGACTAATGAATTATACATTATAGAGGACATGTTCTAACACTCATTTCTTTTATACATGGGACCCACTAGTTGGTGAAACAAATAGCTCTTCCTCGCTTCTCTAGTTCTCTCTTCTCTCACCGTTGAGCAGCTTATGTGGCGCGGGGTGGCGCATGGGCAGTGGGCAGTGGCGACGCCTGTCCGAGGCTAGGTGGCATAGGACGCGATGCGGTGGTCCGTGTAGCGTGGCACCGGCTCGCTTGATCTTCGTGGAGGCGCAATGGCAGTATGGGGTTCATAATGTGAGAGAGGGAAAATAAGAAAAGAGGATTGAGAAAAAAAAATATTGGTAGCTCCTGATTTCAGGGAGTAAGGGATGATTCCGAGAGGTGAGAAATATTTTTAAGAAAAGGAGATTGGTAAGGGATCTAATGAAACTTACTTTTTTTAATCTAAAAAATATTTTTTGTTGCTAGTTATAAGAAAAAAAAGGTTGGTTTGGTTAATCTCCGTCCTGTTCATTTTGACTTATTTGGCTGATAAATCATGACTGTAAATACTGTTTGACTGATTTGGTATAAAAAAAATACTATTTATTAACTGATAAATCATAGTTTATAAACTAAACACGACCCAGCGAAAAAGCTGCTCCAAAATTTTGGCTTTCCCCAGCCTCTTCGTGACGACAGAGCCCATTTAGAGTGCCTGTACGGGACGTCCAGCACCTTCCCGCACCGCCATGGGGCGTCGTGCGAGGCTCCGAGCACCGAACCCATCTGTCCCCTACCAAATTGCAAAATCCCCAAACCCCCGTGCCCGGACCCAAACTCCGCGCCGCTCCCGTCTTCGTTCTCTCGCCCAGCCTAGCCTCGTCTCCATGGCGGCCACCGCCTCCAACCCGTTCCCGTTCCCCTCCCGCCGCCCGCCGGACGACAGCCTCTTCTACGCCGTCTACCCGCTACCACTCCCCAGCGGCCTCCCCGCGCCCGCGCTCCACGCCTCGCTCCAGTCCCTCCACCTCTCCCTCCTCTCGCACCTCGCCCCCCTTCCTCTCCTCCCACCTCTTCCACCGCGACCCCTTCACGCTCTCCCTCCCGGCGGACCCGGCCGCCCCCTGCGCGCTCTGCGCCTCGCCGCCCGTGCCCCACCTCCACGGCGCGCTCCGTTTCGGCGACTCCCTCCCCGACGAGTGGCTCGCCGTCTCCCTCCTCTTCGCGCTCACCCGCGCCTTCCCCGACGTCGCGGCCCGCGCCTGGGACTCCGACGGGGAGTTCCTCCTCATCGAGGCCGCCTTCGCGCTCCCGCGGTGGCTCGACCCGGAATCCGCCCCCAATCGCGTCTTCATCTTCCGCGGAGAGCTCCACATCCTGCCGCCCTCCCTCTTCCCCGAGACGCCGTCGCTGGAAGCCGCGCTTGCCGCCGTCTACGACGACTCCATCGATACCCGCGCCGCCGACGCCATCCAGGCGGCCATACAGCGCCGCATCGCTGGGCTGCCCGAGAGGGCGGCGGAGAACCTACACACGGCACGCGTTATCGTCCCGGCGCCCGTGGCAAAGGTGCTCAAGGAGGAGCCATGTCTGATCGCGCGTGCCGTCGAGGGTTTCTACGACCGGGACATAGACACCATGAAGCATGCGGCGAGGATGGACAAATTCCTCAAAGGGCCTGGTGGGGAGGGGGTTGAGATGGTGAGAACCACGGTACGCATGACGCGGGCAATGTACGCACAGCTTGTGCAGCAGAACTTTCAGGCTCCCAGGGGGTACCCGATGCCTAGGAGGGAGGAGGGGCCTGAGAAATGGATTGAGGCAGAGCTGGGGATGAAGATTGCCTGCGGGTTCGAGATGATGTACCAGGAGAGAAGACGCCAGGGTGAGGAAGGTAAAGGGAGCACGTGGGAGGTTTACAGGAAGAGCTTGGAGGCAACTGGGTGCTTTGAGGGGCTGCTTCCTGGGTCAATGGAGTATAAGAGGGTCATGGAGGATGCAATGCAATATTACAAGAGCTCTAATTTGTATTCCCGAACAAGGTGCTTCAAGTCACTCTTTCTAGCCATGTGGATTTACCTATCTGTTTTCGTTGCTATGCCAAAGAATGTTATTGTGCAACCATCCCATGCATAAACTGTTTAATTCCTAGTTCACTACCCTTTAAAAACTATACATGGTTTGATACATTATTTGTTCTTTTTGAAGAACATTGTAGCCATTATCTCTATTGAATATAAGAATGTACAAAGTAGTGAGTGTCATTTCAATAATTCTGGAGGCTACCTGGATTTCTTTACTATACAGATGATTTCTTTTGAACTTGATTAATGCAAATGCCTCAGTGTTTTAACACTCTTGCAATATGTCACAGGGAGATACTGAGTGAACCAGTGCGGCGAATTGATGAAATCCTATCAATGCCGTACTCGGCTGATGAATTTAAAGGCACTGATCTTCCTCCTAGTGATGATGACTCTTGGTTGCATGGTGGGGATGATGAGTTAAATGCGGAACTCCGTGAAAGGCAGAAGGAACTGGAAGAGTATGAAGCTGCGAAGAAGCAAAGAAGAAGTCAAAAGCAAAGTGTCTCTAGCAGTTCGAAATCCCAGACAGACGAGTTTAAGCTTGGAGAGATTACAGAGTCCATGCAAGAGTTCATTCACAAAATGTCCAGCTTTGAGGGAGCCGAGATTCCTGCAGACAGGTTTTGCATCTAGACTTGTTTCTTATTTCTGTAGCACATTTTTTCCGTTTTGATTAATATCATCACTGATCGAAATTATATTCTTCATTAATTTAGTTTTGTTTCTCCAATTGTTGCTTAAGCCTGTAATCTGTCTTATTTTAATTAAGATAGTTTCATATCCAAACTAGCAACTGAAAGAGTTTCATATCCAAACTAGCAACTGAAAGGAGAACTGGTAAGTGCGGTGTACCTGTGCCAGGCATCTGTAGCATAGTGATTTTTTTTGCAAATTTGAACCAAGATACACTAAAATGGAATCTCATTTCCTTTACAATTACTGAAATGTCTGTTATGTCTGGTAACACTTAAGCACATAGAAGATTAAAAGTAGAACAGCTCTAGAAAAACTTTTAATCTGACTGGAGAACAAATAACGCCAACAGACATTTGATTACAATTATTTGAGTTTTAAATTCTATATGTTTATCTGTCATGAATAAATTATCCATAGTTTTACTATGTATTCTTGATTTCTTCACCTAGTAGGTGCCTTCTTATATTCTTGTGTCTGTGTTGGAGACATTTCTTCTTGTACTCCATCTTTTCAGACCAACCTACAGTGACATTTAAGAGGACAGCGATAAGCATGGAGCGGCAGTCTTATCACTTGAGGATTACTTAGGATGTGCCTTGAACTCACAATTATCCACATAAAGTGGTATTGAATGCTCAGAGTAGTGTTAGTTATAGGATTATGCTTGTTGCCCTAGATCTGGATGCATTTAATCCCCAAGTCACAACGGTTGTAGCCTTACTAGTTACAAGTTGGGATCGAATAGGACAATCCCAAGTTTCGAATACTTGAGCATTCTGTGATATAGAAAAGGTGGCTAGATTATTTTGCTAACGCATGTGTTGCCAATAAGGTTCAGTGCAATACTAAAATTTGACCTTTTTCTTTTATAACTATTTAACTGAGCACCTGTGCTACTTGATAGGTCCTTTTGGTATTCATCAATTCCTTTTTCTTCATGTAGGAGAGAGATGGAATCAGTGGACCTAGATGTCAACCAGTTCTTCAAGGCCATGGAATCGGTTTTAGGTGGAGGTTCACAAGAGCAAGCTGGCAGTGATGATGGATTTGATAGAAAATCCTCATCGTCCGACATGGACTTTGGTATCTCTTTCTTTCTTCAAGTTATTCATGAGTGTTTCCCTGCTCTTACTTTCTTTATCTGTCACATGGTCAATTATCACTGTTGAATCATAGTCCTATGTGGTGAACAATTTTTCCAACTTTCTTCCACATTTAATATTCTTGTTTGCATTATTGCATACTCTATGATTTAAGGAATACAACTGAGGGCACAAACCACCAAGTGTGGTAATATAATCAATGGTATTTTGCTTTACTTCTGTGAATTGGGATTACCTTGATTTGAGAGCTTTGCAAACTAATTATTTAGTTGATCATTTTTTTCATTGAACTGGATGATTAAAGTGTTACCTTGATTTCTTAATTTGTTCGATACTTAAATGGAGTAACTGAACAAACAAGACTGGCAGTTAGTTAATAGTGGACGGGCAGTAAAGTATCCTAAGATATTTTTGGGGTTGTTGAAACCTTATGGCCTCTTTGGCACAGCTTTTGGGGGCTTTGACTTCTCTACTTTTTGTCACTGTACAAACGGCTTCCATGAGCCGGCTTCTAGCTGTTTTGAGAGAGTAGAGAGAAAAGCATCTCAATGGACAGTGTAGCTACAGTGCATGAACAGTTCGATGTCAGAGGAGCTGAAACCACGTGAATCCGTGCCAAAGCTATGGTACTACTTTGATTCTTTGAAGAACTGCTGCTCATAGGTCACTAGTTCTTTCAGTTCCTCAGCATGTATCCAGGGCGTACCCAGTGCAGAGAGCTCCCGCTGTGTGCGGGGTCTGGGGAAGGGTGTCAGTGGCAAGCCTTACCCTCGCCTGTGCAATGCGAGGAGACCGCGACTCGACATGTATCCCACAAACTTTATTGCTTCGTTCTTCTACTTTGGTGATAGCTGAAATGTTTTTTTTTATGACTATGATAGCTGAAACGTTGAATCCTATTTTTTGCTATGAATTTTAAAATACTAAGAATGTTTGTGGTGATGCAGATGATTCTGATGAAGACAATGATTTTGCTGAAGAATTAGGTGACAAGGATGTGGATGATTCTTTTATGGGGTCATATTCAGATGCTTTAAATAAAGAGCTAAGCAGTACCACTCTTGAGAAAAGCTTTGCTCGTGCACCACGACCGGAAACTAACAATGAGGTAGCCTTGTGTATTTGAGATGTTACATGCTTTTTTTCATTTTTTTATGTGTAGGATAGATAGGACACTGTCTCTGAACCAAATGCTTGATATGATGTATATTTGTCTATATTCGAAATTGTTTCTTAAAAGTCATGATGCTCTTTTGTAAATGCAAGTTTTTTTTTTCATATGAAGGTTTAATGAGGATAGAGTTACATTATGTGCTCATTTGGTTTTAAATCACCACAAGAACTTCTCTGAACTCTTAACTATCTTCTAGTTACTATAATTGCAGGTTTTTAAGCCATTTCTGTGTTATTATAATTGCTATGATGTTACCTTTCAAGGTTGCATGCCATGTTTTAAGTTTCTCAAGGATGCTGTAATTGTTGTAGATCTGCTACTAACATGCATAGTTAGGTTGACTAATTAAACGTGGTTAACCAACGTTGAAGTTGATGAGATTTATCAATTAGCATCCCTCCCTATAAATGTACAAAAAAGAAGAGATGAATGCCGTAATCTTCTCTTCATTTCTGTAGTATCTGCCTGCATACTCGTTTCGTTAATTCAAATCAATTTGCTGGTCTTCTAGTTGTCTATCATTTGCATAATCAGTCAAGTCTATAATGTATATCCAACTTCACTCATGTTCAGTTAAAACTGCATTTACCAAATCAAATTGCAGATTTCGGCTTCTGCCTATATTAGATTAGAAACCAGGCATTTGCTGCTGTTCAGTTTTACTTACCCAAAGCAATGTGTGGTATATTTTGCATTGCAGGGTCCATCAGATGATGCAGCTACTGATGCAGAGATGACTCCAGTTGATGTAGATCTGAACCTTGTCGAGAGCATTCTTAACTCCTACTCTTCGCAACAAGGTCTTCCCGGTCCGGCTTCCAATCTGCTAGGACTCATGGGCGTAAAGGTCCCTCCAGATGCTAAAAAGTCGTGATTTTTGTATTCCACTAGTGTACACGTGAGATCTTGGGAAGTAGTTGGGATATATAGGAGAAACTTATCTTCCATATCTGGGTGGTTAATTTGTTGTGATAGTACAGCGGGTTGCTAGCCACACTTTGCCACACTTCACTTTAGCCAAATTTGATCAAATTGGCAAATGTTTGGTTGGCAATTAAACTTACACAGGAATATTTTGGGCTCCATATGAGTAAAAAAGTGTGGCAAGATTCTCCTAGGCATAATAAATGGTGGCTCTAAAATTTCTAGCCACACTTTGACACACTTGTCTAAGGTTAGTTGTGGCAATTTGTGGCTAGAAACCAAACTGCCCCATATGTCGTAACTCTCAACCTGAATATCATACCTGTAAAAAAACCCTGAGAAATGGAGCAGCAAGTATTTGTTTTTGGCAAGCATGGACTATCAATCTACATCGGCTATCAATGTACCGTAGATGTATTGCTGTTTTTGATATGATCGTACAGCAGTTGTAGGCGTAGCTGTGCTGGCTATGCAAGATTGGGTGCGGCGGTGAATTATTGAGATTTGACGAAGCTATAGGAAACCTGCCAATTTTTGTGGTACTAGCTGTTATTCTGCACTTTGGGGGTGTAGTGATCTTTCGTGGTCTGGATAAGGTAGAGGTAGCTGACGGAAATAATGCAGTGGTCACATTTGAGTTTGATCGAGTAGTGTAAGCTTTGACAATAAAATTCTACCAAGGCCTTGTTTAGATTTGGGATAGGAATTAGTATTTGATACTGTAGCACTTTTAGTTTATATTTGACAATTATTATTCAATCATGGCCTAACTAGGCTCAAAAGATTCGTCTCGTAATTTACAATCAAACTGTGTAATTAGTTATTTTTTTTATCTACATTTAATACCCCATACATATGTCTAAAGATTTAATATGATGAAGAAAGAGTAAAAAAATTTACGATCTAAACCAGGCCTAAGTATATAGTTTGTTGCAGATATGTCTGCGAAAGTCTAGTTAAAACGTCGAACAGACAGCGCCCAACAAGGCAGTTCTAAATGCTCCTTTTTATGTTTTTTTCCTTTTTTGGGGTTTTGTTATAAAATAAGGAAGCGAAGAGACATAAAATAAAACGGATCCTGCCCCTTCGATGCGTCCAACGGATATGCCCCCAAAAGTATTTTCCTGCAGCAGTCAAAGATCTACAGTGATCTTGCTTTCAGTTTCTGAGGTAGAAATTTTTTTGTGGTAATCTCTTACAACGGTACCGAAAATACAATCATTTGACGTTTAGGTGGCGGTACAAATAAAATGTTCAATACCTATTTCCGGTCTTCTTCAACAATAAAACCGAAAGAGCATCTTTTCTGCAAAATGAGTCTCCAGAAGAGAGGAGACTCATATTTGGGTTGTGCCTCTGCTGTTATCTAAAATAGATATCCCATATAGGTACTCTATTGGAGGTCAATACGGTACGTTCAAAGACCCATTTTGGATTTGAATGTCCTTAGGGCAGTCCTAATGGTGTATTGATGATTGTTTCTATTCTTATTAAATGACTTGCCACGTAGGCAAAATGCTAACATGGCGACATAATTAATGAAGAAAGAGAGCAAAAATCATAGAAATAGTTTCCTCATGAAGAAATTAGGTCTTCTCTTCACCCAATGCACCAATAAACCATGAAATCATCATTGGGGAGAAACCACCAGTTTCCAGGGGGCTCGTGCCACACTCCCATTGGATGAAGAAGATAGAGTTAGGAGAGAGAAAGAGAAAATAATTATTACACAAAGACACCTCCACTGTGGAAGATAGTTTCTATAGATGATTTCTTGTGCTATGGAAACCACATCAGTTTCTTCCATTGAGACTGCTCTTATGAGTCATCTGTTGGAGGCAGTCAAATGTGTTGTTTGGTTCATAGCCTTTGTCTGCCACGTAAGTATGTGGCAGCCACAGAGTTATAGCGACAAAAAACTCCTGTGGTGAAAATTGCTACTGTGGACTAGTAAAAAAAAAACCTGTTCGTTTGGACTTGTTTAGCTTATAAACCGTATTTTTTTAGCCAACGAACAATATTTTTCTCTCATATCAAATCAGCCAACGGTACTTTCAGTCATGGCTTATGAGCCAAATAAGATCAAACAAACAGGACGTATGACATGCTAAACTTTATTGATCAACGAAATGGCAGCTTTACCGGCTTGTGGTGCGGGCAATCAAGCAGCCCCTAACATAGTATACTCCTCCAAAGGACAGGATAAACTACCGACAAAGCATGGGCAATCATGCATCAATATGTTATTAATCTTCTTTAACCATTAGTCCAACATGGCAGCCTGGCCACCAAGGTTGGGCATCGCAATATCAATATCTTTATTCCACCATTAGTCCAACATGGCAGCCTGAGCCTGGCCACCAAGGTTGGACATCGCACTAGATGACGAAAAACGAAACCGCAGAAAAAGCAACAGAAGTATCCTCCGTCGTCGCGTACGCGGCCACAAGTTGGCTCATTTTTTTCTTTACAGAAAACAGCGGGTGTATCACTGTATCGTGATGGGACCTAAAGAATTATACGCAAAGACCGAAAGAACCATACGCTGTGCTACGTGATTTGTTTGTTCACTGCCGGCGCCTCCCCGCTCCCACCTAACCCTTGATCGTTTTCACCGCAGCCGGGATAAAGACAAGCGATACTTTTCACCGTCAACTGGCTAATCACGCATACCAAAATGTAGTAGGTTTCCGGAGTCCCGAATCCGAATGCAGATTCGCATCGTTCTCTCCCCGGTCCCCGCTCCCTCCCGGCTGCGCGGTACCACGTTTCCGCGCGCGCACGGCGCTGCCGTTCCCCAACGAGATGGGATTCGCGAGAGATCGCTCGCCCCAGTTGACGCGACAGGCGGCGGCGAGAAGAGACCGGCGGCTAAGGAGACGTTTGGTTTCTCCTCTAAACTTTAGTCGTTGTCCCATTGAATATTTAGACACATATATAGAGTATTAAATATAAATTAATTACGAAACTAATTGTACAGCTTGTGATTAATTTATGAGATGAATCTTTTAAGGCTAATTAGTCCATGACGTTGACAATGTTGTGCTACAGTAAACATATGGTAATGACGAATTAATTAGGCTTAATAAATTCGTCTCGTAGAATAATAATAGATTTTATAATTTATTTTTTTATTAGTAACCAAATATCCGGTCACTGGATCAAAAAAAAAACCCCTGAGTCCACTGCAAGATGCCAAGATCACTGTCGCGCATGTGCCGAGTCCTAAGTGAGTAGCAGCTGGGACTGGGGAAAAAAAATGGAAGCCGCGAGGAAGGTTCCTCCCGGTACCGGAGGGAGGAGTTTGCGCAGCAAGAGGTAGGCGCCACCCCATCTTTGGAGGAGAACGACGGGAATGGGCTAGGTGCGTCCATGATGTCACTGCCGAGCTGCACCTTGCTCAAATGCAGGGAGTGTGGTGTGAAAAGGTTGGTTGGTCGGTTGGTGCCGTGCAAGTGCAATTTCCATTCGACGCTTTTGTTGCACTTTTGGCGCGGGGGCACACACACTCGGTGATGTCCAACCTGGACATGATAACAATTTGTTGGATTTGTCGTCGCTATCGTGGGAGGCTTCTGAGTTGGACTTCTATGCATGAGCCCCGTAGGAGGGGCATACCAGAGCCCTAATTCCCAGAATTAGTACACATATCATACGTGGATGGCCGCTCAGTTTAAAGTGTGCGATGATCTGACCATCAAAATTTTACAAATTTTTCAAGGATTAGTTGTTTCTGGACAGGTATGAGACGGTGGCGTTAACGAAGCGAGACGTTAAGAGTTGGCCTGGACTCAGGAACTCCGGATAACTGCTTGCTAATGGTAAGAGAGTGAACATTGTATTGACCGATAGATTAGCCCACGGGAGTTTCATGTGTTTGGAGTTGAATCGAAGAGTGAAAATTGTATACGTACATGCTAGACAGCTGTTGACGGAGACATCCGCTCCGCCCACGAGAACTTCATGCGTTCGAACGGAATTGACAACTGGCCGCGTGTTATTCGGAGCTCCTGAGCCGTCCATATAAACCGAAAACATTTGGGCCTGGTTTAGATTGGGGTTAGGAATCAGTATTTGGCACTGTAGCACTTCGTTTGTATTTGATAATTATTGTCCAATCATAGCCTAACTAGGCTCAAAAGATTCGTCTCGTAATTTACAATCAAACTGTGTAATTAGTTATTTTTTTATCTATATTTAATACTCTATGCATGTGCCCAAAGATTTAATGTGATAAAAATAGAGTAAAAAAAACTTGCAATCTAAACAAATCCCTCCTAAAAAAGCCAGAAAGGACTGTCAACCATTGGACAGGAACTGTGTCCATAAATTATAATTAAAAATATTATGCTGATATGTTAGAAGAAAAAAATATTATTGGTTACTTTAGAGCGAAACGAAAGGACACCCGATCCCTAACAGGCCCTCAGAAGGCCCAGCAATAATTACCGACGAACCCGATGCACGGCCGCACTGATCCCAAGCAATAATTACCGGGCCCACCCTGTCGATTAAAAAGAGCTCCCATTCTCCCAGAAGGCCAGAATTTGACCCCCACCTACCTCCCATCAAACCACGTACTGTCTTTCAACAGAGAACTTATATAGACACTTAAATTTAAAATAGGTTTAAAATTAGTCTTTTAAAAAAGTATTTATATGAGAGATCTAATTTAGTTGTTTAAAAGATATAACTTAGATATAAGTACCTTTAGTTCTTAAAATCTATTTATAGAAATAATTATTTTTTAATTTTATTATTAAAGAAGATATCGAATAGGTATCGATCCTTTTTGCGCGACCCAAACGATCAACAGGTCTTGTATTTAGGCTAAGGACACCCCCGCCTCGCGTTTATAAGCCACCCTTCTTCCTCGTTCCTCCACGGTCCTCGCCTGCAAAGCACAGACACAAATCACGAGCGCCAAACCGAATCAGCCACGAACCATGG